CTAATAATTAATTAATTTAATTTATTTGCTACTAGGTCTCTTGCAAGGTACAGCAATCTACGTCCCTTACTTGTGAGAGCTTCCGATACATAGATGGGCACTGTTTCACCTTCCAAACCTATAGTAGCTGAATTCAGACGTTGGGTTGAATTCTGTTTGTTATATAATTTGGCTGCTTTAATCACTTCATGCTTAGTAGATGAACACAAAAACTCTGTAATTACTGTTGATTTTCCAGATTTGTCTTTCAGTCGATAGATATTCTTTATATCATTTTCTTTTATTCCTATATTCAAAGCTTTACAGGTAACCGTAGCAAACCGACAAAGATCAGCCCTCGTCTCTGTTTTTGCTGCTGGGGGTAAATTTCTGATTTCTATTGTAGATGATTTAAGGTTCCTTTCAATATCTTCCAGTTTACTTTCCAATGTAGAGATCTGTAATATATGTTGCCTGCGTTCCTGTTCTAAGTTCTCAATTTTTGATTTAATTTCATCATATTGGTGTGACAAAAATTCCAATGATCGTTCAATTTCTTTGTTCGACTCTTGAATTTTAGAGTTTTGTACTTTAATTTCAGCTACATCCTTAACAAGTTTGTTTAGCATAGCAGTTTGATTTTCACTTAGTTCCTTTACTAAAGCCAGAATTTCCGTCTTGAAATCATTAAAACGATCTTCTCCTGACTCTCTTCTTCGTTTATTGCGTTGATTAGAAAGGCATTGTTTTGTTTCAGTGGATGCTAAACTGGAAGAATCAGTATCTGAATGATTTTGTTGTTTTGGAGTCATAGTAGGAGGAGATCTTTCTACACGGGGCATATTATTACAATTATTTAGCTTTGTTTCTTAGTTTATGTGGTCGTTGTTCAAACAATATAAACTTGTACCTTAGAATGACGTATCGCTTGATGACGTAGTTTATCAGAGCAGCCAGCACAACACAAATTTTTAACTTACAAGACAAGGATGAAAAAAAAAAAAAAGATGGGTATTTGCACTTGTCAGGTATGATGACACATCGGTTTCGTTGCACTAAGTAATGGATTAACCAGTAATGCAAATTGAAACCTGTTAACTACACTTCACAGTTCAACATAGAGTGCACGCATCAATTATTTTTAGAAAAAATCCGGGGACACGTCTAATCACCACACAATCTTGGACGGAAAATAGAACATTTATAATATAAATACTGCCGTGTGGTCCTGTCATAGAATGGGTTACTCTTTTCTTTTCTTGTAGGTGTAGTGGCTGGACAGCAGCGTCCCATTTATAACATTTACAAAGCCTAAATGCGGTTGTCATCCGCTCGCCAAATGTGGTAACTTTTGGTTAAACTCACCTATTGGGAGAGGCCTATGTTCAGCAGTGGATATTCAACGGCTGATATGGTAATGATGAATACGAATACTAGCTGTGCCCTTAACTGCGTTCGCGTGAATAGGGAATAATAATGAATATATTAGGTGACTAGGATAATGAGTAGCTAATAGCCAGTGCCAATCTAAGATTGTTTGAATGATTAAAAAACGAAGAGGTAATAAACAAAACTTCAAAATTATAATTTTAGTAAGAATTTTATGCATTATTGTTAGTAGAATTTTAACTGTTTGAATTTTAACAGTCATAAATGTAACTAAACTGTGACTGTTACAGCAAAGGAATAATACAAATGGTTTTGTAGTTTCTGTTCTCACAAAAAAAAAAAAACAAACTAAGTCTAAAGAGATAAAAAATATTCACGGTATGTATCTCGCAAAAATCCCGCGATATTCTTTATTCCGCTTTATTTTTTTTTATGCAATTTAAAATGGCAAACAAGCTGACGGTCCACCTGACGGTAAGTGGTTACCGTCACCTATAGACATGAATAGTACCATGGATATAACAGAGTATATTGAGTACAAAAAATATCAATATATAATGTTATAGAGTAATATTTTAATCGATTTCAAAGAGGTTTTCAAATCGAGTATGTTTATTTCTGTATTGTAATATATTTTTGGCAATTATAAAACTATTTTTCAGTACGTATTTTTAAATTAGAAGCGTCTACTATTACAATACTTTACTGAAGAAATAGAAGTTCATATATTTTTTTAAATCTATCTCATTAAAACATTTAAATAATATATTTTTTATAGAAATTGTCATTAGTCTATGACAGTAGAATGTAATCAGAGACAGTGACTCCGTGCAATGACTCGTAAGTAATCGCAGACATAACGGACAAATGCATTCGTTCATTAATGTGGAAACTCTTATCATATTAGTAACCGAAGCTAATTATAGAACGGTGGCAACTTGATGACCTACCAATCGCAATATTTGCACTCATTGCCAACTCGAATTAATTGCTTGTTACAAACCAATATTTTTTTTTTAATTACTATCATTGACACCCAGAAATCCCAAGATTGTATGTACGTACAATTAGAGATAAAAAAGCGGCACTGACAAAAAGGCCTTCAACTAAATTATGCACACATTTCTTTAAGTTTGTAATTAGTCGATGAGGTTTGATAACAAAGAAGTCGCCATCTTTGTGTAACGAGTTATATATTTTTAGTTAGAGTAAAAAATTTTGTGCTGCTTACACAAACAAACAACTTGATAAAATGTAACAACTGTTAGCTATTGACATAAACTGCATCAAGAATATTACAAAATACATGGTGGTGCCCATGATATACCTCTTAAATGTTATTTTTCTTAAGGATTAAAGTGTTATGCCATTGTATCCTATTCTACCGTCTTAAAATCAATTTCCAACATGAGTGAGGTAGTCATACCTATATAGAGTTTGTATAAAAGTTTTGTAATATTCAATTTTACTCTTGCTTTGTACTGGTGTACTTTAAAAGTGTGATTGCAGAATATTTCTATTATATTCTCTGCTTTAACAGACAATTATAGGTAATATAAGTAAAAAAGATTTGAAGAATTTTCTTTTACTTTGTAATATTAATGAAATTGACAATGAAGCATAAGTTAATGGTTTTTAAGTTTATAATTATTTTTTAATGTAATTGTAACTTAAAATAGTAATTGATAATTATAAATATAATAAACATATTTTTTGTACATTTACACTAGGAGAAAATAGGATAACTTTAAAACGTAAAGATGAGCATCTATTGCTAAAAATTTTCGTAATTGAGAACTCGATAATTGATGAATGCTGTACGTACAGATCGCGTAAAAACGTGACAAGCGACAAGTTTAATATAAGCGCGGGCGCAGGTTTGTGTCGCGGACTCTCACCAGGTGTAATATCAATTTGTCCAGTGCCCTTGACACAGAAGCGTATTAGAGTTTCTCTCAAATAAATGGGGGCGCAGAATTTTGTTCATAAAATAGCATGACTGATACGGGAAAACCTATTGGTGCCGTCTCTCGTCTCGCGTAACGTCTTCGTTAGATTAATTATGTTGTTTCTGTCATAATATCTTCTTGTCAACAAATAATTTAAGTAAAGTAGCAATTGAAAGGGATCAATAAAGTTATGATTACAATTTTAAACAATTATTTTTAAAGTAGAACCAGTACCAATTTATTGAAAAAAAAAATCAGTAATTTACAAAACCTTAAATAAAACATTACATTATTTTTTTATTGAAATATTTTTTACTACTATTATGTTATTGTTAATAACGTGTTATTGAATATACTTAAGAGGTGTGGAATATTTACAACTTGCTTGTCCTGATACTGTTACTTTGTGTATTTTTATTATTCCATAAAACAGTTGTAATTTTGTGATACTGATGTATCTATTTAATGTGCAGTGTGAATATTATTTATTTACCAATATGTAAATTTGTTAATAATACAGGTTAAAAATCATCCGAATATAAACACTGCGTAACAAAATGCTTATATATACACTCTGTTTATATTAGTAGTTTGGTTTCGTAATAAAACTTTGATTGTTACAATTTAATAAGTTAATTCGTATGCATAGTGGGTATTCACTATTTAAATCTATGGTAATTTCAACAGATTAATAAGTGAGAATCGTAAAAATAGCTTATTTAGAAGCGAATACATAGTAAAATTTATATTGATAAAATAATCAAACAACTTAAAATTTGTATGCAAATTTTAATTTCTTCAATTGTCATAAAAGTAGATTATGATAATTTAATAATAAAGTTAAAATATAAAATTTTAATAAATATGTACTTTATTATTCAAATAATAAAAATTAACTCATTTATATATAATTAAAATAAAGCATAAAATGTTATAATTTACCAATAAAATAATTATAAAAATATAAACTTTGGAGTATACCATAATGGAGATATTAATGGGGCGTATAATAGTACGTTATATGTGATGAACTTACCATGTGGTCTTGGCATAGGATGGGCCACCCCTTACTTTCCCGTGGGTGTTGTAAGAGGTGACTAAGGAAACGTAATGAATTAAAGATGGGCAGTAGCGGTCCTCTTAAAACATTACCAAAGCTTAACTGCGGTTGCCAACCTGCCTGCTAAGCGTGGCAATTACTAACAGAACCCCAATAGGGAGAGGCCTATGTTCAGCAATAGACATTGTAGCCCGCATTATAGGTCGGATGTTAAAAATATTTAATTTATGCTAATTGACATAAGTAAAATTAGAGTAATAGTTAAGTTTTATTCTAGATAAACAAATTTATTGTGAAACTAAAAGTGTATATTATATTATATATTAGTAATTTTTTATACATTCAATATGTGTGTGTATCTGTGTTGATATCAGTATGTAGGTGTATAAATTAATTCTAGTACAGCATTTGAGTTTTTATTACTTTTCACGTATTAATTGGAGAAATTTATTTCAGTAATAGTTAAGTTCGCGTTGTATACACACCAGTAAACAGCGTAGAATTGTGAGGGCTCGTAAAGTCTTTATATGTACTTAGTAATCATAATTTTAAAGAAAGTGATAATAACTATATATGTACTAAAGCAATAAAAAAAGAAAAATATATATAAATAAATATCGTACCTCCAGCTCGAAATTAAAAGCGCAGTAAGCCCCTATCGGCTAGTCGGTGTCGACAATGGCTCGAAGTCTCGTCGGCATCCTGCCTGCGCGTGCTCACCTCATTACAGAACCTAGCTCCGATGCACCACCCGATGCATGCCCTGAAATTAAAACGAAACCTCATTAATAATTGGATATATTTTTAGCTATATAAAGAGGACTGAGCCAAATTTTTAAATTAATTGAAATTACCTAATTACTTAATATATAGCTTTGTTGACTGCTATCTTTACCCAGTAATTAGAAATGTTTCCAAAAATTGCTAGATGTTACCAAATGTTTCTAAAGCCTAGTTTAGTACAATATATTATGTAATGTATATAAAACTGAGTTTGTTTGTTATTTCTTAGCGCCATACAGATAAACCTATTACTATAATATATATAGAGTAGTTAGATAGATACTACTACTTTTTATCTTAGTCACGTAAACTAAATCGCAGGTAAAAGCTAGAATAAGTTGTGACCTGAAATAAGCATTTTTTTTTCTATTTTTTCTCTATATTTATATGGTATTTTTACCAGATACCAGATACCTCTGCCTCATTCGTGTTTCAACCGTAAAGCTTTATAACCCTGTCAGATATTAATCGAGTTGGAAAATTTTCTTTGTATCTTATAGATAAGTCATATAATATTTTCTATCAAAATTGGTTCAATAGTGTAATTTTTAAAGTAAAATAATTAGTTTTGTCAAAATTGAAGTCGGTTTTTTTGTAGAACAAAACCATAATTACTTGTTTATTCAACATTTTTACGTTGAATAATTTGGTTACCAGCTAAGTAATATTAATTAACAAACATCAAGTTAGCTCACTCTGTGACACCATTTCCATATTTTACATCGACAAGGTTATATGAGTTGTACTTGTATAACTGATAACGTGTGTTGCTTTCTAAGGTTTACTACGTATTAAAATACGAGCGAAAGTTGTTATTAATATATGATTTAAGTGCCTAATCATTTTTTTTATTGCAATTTGCTCAGGATAAAGTACAAGTGCTGTTTTTTAATTAAAATAAAACAGATAATGGTAACAACAAAGCAATCTTAAGATAGAAAGGGGAAAATTGTCATCAGAAACGACGAAAGAAGATAACCGAAGATAAATAGTCGGTCGTAATAAAAAGGAAATAAAAGATAGAAGATTTTTATTCATTCCCTTTCGCAGATGTTATTTGTTTATATTAAATACTTTACCTTAACACCAAACTAAATTATATTTCTTTCTGGTGTCAAAATTATGTCTTTTTATCAAGAATATGTCAAGTGTTAATGTAACATTATTGTGTAAGTCTTAGTGGGTGTAGTCGTCTATTAAAAAATATTTCAAGACGAACCACAAGATCTCAGCTTTATAATCAAATAGTTATAATATCAAGTGGTTATAGAGATTCCACAGTTACACAGTGAAGTTAATAAATGAGGGGTATTTAGCATTTACACGAATTGATATTATAGATTGATTTATAATAACCAGGCAATTTTAATCATATGTTAAAAATAATTACATTAATTACAGATTTAAATACCATTACAACTTGTTAAGTAATATGTTTAAATATATTTTTTACGAACCACTGTAATAATGATATTATAAACTGAGGGATTGATTTAGGCTCCAATAACATCAAATAATTAAATAATCTTCGAAAACGTTTTGAAATAGACGTTTGTATAATTATGAACAGAGAATTGAAGTTCATAGTTAAGTAGTTAAATAATGATAAATGTGGTTTTAATACGGGTCAGTGTGTTGCCCAACAATATACCATGTCAAAGTTGTCATTGCATTTGACTGTATCTTGATTTTTACATAACATCTATCAATAGTTAAACCGTTGATGTTATCGATGACAGTCTCCTGGTAAAAGTATTGATTACAGTGATCACAGAAAATCAGTCACTATGCACTTTCATACTAATCTTAAGATCTCTACTAATATTCTTAGTATAGACTTATACAAATACTACGAAATCCTTAGAAAGGTCAATGACTGACTTAATATGTCAGATGGCTTGCTGACGGTATGTCAGTTGCACAGGAAACATCAAAATGTCAGTCTTTCTTTACGCGAGGTTTATAAAAATCAAGAAATTATGTGACGCTGGCGCAAAGGAGGTTGGGTCATCTCAATGAGGTGATTGGGAATGCTAAAGAAGTGATAACTGGTTGAGTGGCATGCAACCGGTTCGGCTGCGCCCGCGTAGACGCACTGCTGATGATTTAATTCCTCTTTAAGTTTATTTCTCATTTATTTGACAAAGTGCCTATAAAGATGATAGTCTAACGAGTTTGTTACCGCGAACATCAACTTTTTAATAAAAGCAATCTAAAACTGGAGACAAAAGGTCAGTATAAGGCCAAATTCTGAAGATAAAACTTGAATACACACCTTTCAACGAGCTTTAATGTTATACCAGTTCGATTTGTTCATAAATATGACATAGTGCAAAAAAAGAATAAGTTTTGCGAACACTACTAATGCCGTCAACAGAAATATCCTGCCTTCAGGAAATCTCTTTTATAACATGTCACTCTATATCATTATCCATGCATTGCTATTCCAAATGATTAGGGTGATACGCTTCGTGCCAGAGATTAAAAGCGGTTAAATTATTAATATTATTATTTAAAGGTTGTTTGCTCAATATCGTGTCTTTCCATACTCATGAAATATTATATTTTACTAAGTTAACCACGCGACTTTAAAATATTAATTTTCTTTTACACTGTATTTTAAGCAATATGGAACCTGTGGTGACCAGTTCATATTTACTCGACTGTCCCTGTGGTCATTTATCTCTCTATAAATAGAAGTATTTATTAAGAATAATCATTAAGAAATATGGTATTATAAATATTAGTTCAACCTTCATGTCGGAGAAAACTTTTGTGGAATGAAAATGGCTACTTATCCTATGGAGGAAACGATTCTAGTTTGATAACACACAAATGGCATTCTGGAGTTTATGGAATTCTTCTTACTAATTAGAACTGGCTGTTTTCTGGTAAAAAAAAGTGTTTCCAAGCAACACGTTTTATACTGTGTGAAAATTTTGGTATTAAAAGTCATTATTTAGATGACTCGGTATAGAAATGAAAGTGTCTCTGGTATTTTAGAGTGACCGGGCTATTTTATATTATTTGATGGTACAAAAAGTCGACTCAAGGCATGTAGCGGGGTCGTGCGGCTCACGCCCGCCCCGACCTCGCCTGCTAAAATAATAACCAATCAGACAATACAATAATTGTTCACCCAACGTGATCGTAACAATCGCAAAATACTCGTACGCGCGTCAGAAATTAATCTCGTGCTCAATGTACGCCGCTGACAAAAGAATCTCTTTTTCAACTTGAAAGGCATGTACTGTTCATAAAAGTTACTTTGTTAAATATTATAATATAATTAATTAAGTAGCGTAGTAGACTTCCAAGACTTCCAAGTGGCGCTACGTTCTCAGAGCTTTGCGTAAGCTTATTTAATAAAGTATTTATTATGACAAAAAAGACAGTAATAATAAAATGTACCATACCATTTATGATATATTTTATAAAAAATATTTTTATTAAAATGTTATTATTATTTAACAACTTTGCGTTGTTAAATAATGAAAACATCCTTAGCGACCTTAATCTAAACTTTTTCTTCAGGCGTATTTATAAAAATTAAAAAAAAATGCAGGTATATAAAATTATTCTTATTTCAAATAATAATAAACAATCGATATATTAAAGTACCATCAACAAGTCGTAACACAAACAGTGAATTATAATAATTATGTAACTGCCAGTATCATTAGTGTTGCCATTAGTAAGTTTGTCCAAATAAACTACACTGGCCAAAATCAGGGCGAGTTTATAGCTCATTTAACCCATCAATCATGTTTAATCGGATATTTGTTTTTCAAAGAAAAACCTTTTCTTTTTGATTATTGAAACAAATCTATATTAACACAAGGTGTATGTCACTGTAAGAAATAAAACGATATTGACTGTTGCATTAAATCAGAAAAATAAAGTAATTCGGATACTTCAAATAGCAAATTCGCGTCGAAGATTGTTTTAATATAAGAAATAATTCTTATTGATATTGTGATGAAAAAGGAATCTGTATATTTAAAAAATTGTGATGCAATTAATATTTTTTTATATTCACAAACACTACTCATACAGTTACCAAATACAGTTAAGCGTAATATACATATATGTATATCTATATATATAGAAAAAAAACATTAAATTGAGTAGTAGCGTATAATAAAAATAGATAATGATGTCTTAACTGCATTGAGATCAAGATTCACTCGAATTGCTGTAAGTGTAAGTCTAACCTACCTGTTGTCAAATAAACACCACTTTTTTGTTGCGTTGTTTACAATTGCTTGTCACAGTAATATTTGTATGAATAGATTGATGAATGTTGAGGATGTGAATGAGGTCTGCTTAAAGCAGAGTTTTTGAAAGGCATGCGTGACGTATGTATGAGTATATATTTATGCTTCGTTAAAGTTGCCATTAAACTTGATTTTTGAATTGTGCAAACTAAAAAATTAAGTTTTATTAATCAACATAAAAAATAAAGTCATACATTTTGCGAGTACTTTTTTTAATATAAGCGTATTTTCTGATATTTCTTTGTCAATTTGTATAATTTATTAATTTATATTTATATTTAAAGGGTTTAGTTACAGGTGTTAATTTGGTTTAAATTGATGGTTGTGGTTTGTTAAAAATAATAAAATGTTATTATTTAAACCAGAATTCCGCTGGTTTAACTGAGAAATATATAAATTGTAATTTGAATCTAAAAAAAAAACAGGATAATGATTCAGGAATTATTATGTAGACAATTCAAGTTAACTGATGCAGTGACAACCCACTATGATACCCCAGTATATCTTGTTCACCTCTTCTTACAGCTCCACAACGCTTGTAGTAACAAGTGGTGTTTATTTGACAACAACTAGGTACACTTACAGCAAGTTGAGTGAATCTTGATCTCAATATAGTTAAGACTGCATTATCCATTATTATTATACATTAATATATAATTTGATATTATTTTTTATATATGTATGTCACGCTTAACGGGTCTGT